CCATGGGCCGGGCTGGGCTGGTCTTGACTATTGAACAAGAAACACGACCACATCCTTTTTATTGGGCCATCCTTGGAGATGTGAGCTTACAATGGTGGTTGTTCGGGGCCTTAATCAGCCTAGTAAGCCGAAGACTGAGCTCTTCTCTCTTCTGTCGTCCTGCTAGCTCAAATATCATACTCTATAGTACTATATCTGAAATCACTATCGAAAAAGGGCTGTCTTTTAAGGCAGCCCTATATGATTAGGTAGACATGTAATGATATAAAATAATGGTATAATATTTGGTTGTTAGCCATTAGTCTGGGTTATATGGGTGACCACATCCTTTTCATTGGGCCATCCATGGGGATATGAGTTTGAATGGTGGTTATTTGGGCCTTAATCAGCCTAGTCTGATAGCCAAGCGGGCCAAAGACCACGGACATGCCCGGCGCTAGGAGAGTTATGACTCAAGATTCATGGCACAAGCGGGTTTGGCCCTGTTTCTTAACAATTTTCTGGCCCGTTCTCTCTTCCTTGTTTAGGGTGGGAGAACTTTAGGAGAGGTTGATGTGAAATGGGCAGTTGGTATAATGAGCCTGACCTGGCTTAGGTAGACCCCGAGTATCACAGGTGGCTATCAAGTATCAACCTATACACACACACATATATTTGCTTTCGTACGAATTTATAATGAAAAAACTCTTGTTCGTTGCAAGATTATCGACAGAAAGGTTAATCATAAAATTGAAGAGTTTGCTTCTACACAAAAACGAAAACCTTCAAAAATAAATATTGGATCGGGAAGAAAAGGGGGAAAAAGTATCCATTGTACCATACATACTCTATTCTCTAATTTTTGCTGCACCTGGAGAGAGAATTGTTGGAAAATTATGGCTGATCTTTAGCTTATTGGAGGTGGAGCTGTGTCATACTCTTTTATGTAGATAGTTTACTGATTTGGGAATGAAAATGAAAGGGAGAAAAGAAAAGAAAAATAAAAGAGAAGCATATCATCCAAGATACCGCTTTGATCAATTATCCTAGCAATCAAATTGGTTGAATTCTATAACATTCCATTCTAATACTCTATCAGAGAGTTATTAGTATTTATCAAATCTATTCCTATCTAATAGAATGTTATTCGATCAAATGGGTCGAAATTCATCAGTTTGATCAAAGTACACTAAATTAATTCTCAAATGATCTTGCTCCCTTATATTTCTTGATGATTTTTCTCCCCCTCAAGTAATCTGGCCTAAAAAAATTGCAATACCATTAAAGCTTTAGAACAATTTGGTGGATCTTAATTAATATACTGAACCAAATATTATATGCTAGCTAGAATCAAATACAGACACAGAGAGATGACCTAATAAACAATATTACAGGCCTTCCAACTCTTTCATTACAGCTTCTATTACCAACCTCTTTGATCTTTTCATCAACTCAGGACTCAACCTAAACATGAGGACACAAAACTCCATCTGATTTAAGCTTCCATTTCCATCCAGATCACCTTCTCTCACCATGCACATCAATTCATCATCATTCAAGTCCTGCAACCCTAGCACAGCAGAGTTCTTCTTCAAGCTCTCAAAAGTGATCTCTTTCTTCTCCCCATCCATCAATAATCGAAACCCATTACACAGCTCATTTATAAACCCTTCTTCACCCAATTTCTCCACCATGGATGGAAAGAAATCCTCGAACACGATATCACTTCTCGACGCCATTGCTGGATGATCAACGATTTTACGAGTATCTATTCAATGACCACAATGCACTAGACAGAAAAAAAAAATGTGTTTATGGGTATCTTGGTGAGAAAGGAAGGGAATATATAGAGGAGGGGGACTGGGGGAGGGAGAAAGTGAAGTGTTCGAGGAAAGAGGATCAGGGGGGTGACAACGAAGGTACAGATCAGCGGAAACTGCATATGTTGCAGGGATTTTGCTGATAAAGTTTGTGGGGGGTTTCATGGTGCAGTGGGGGTTCTCCTTCCTCGAAGTTGCATGGGAAGTTACCCATTTATAGCTACTAGTCAAGGTCAAGGGACTGGAACTATATATTGCTTGTCATGGCAAGCATTCTCTCTTAAGAAATCAAGTCTGTTTGCAATTTTGGATGGCAATTTACAAAATTATCAGTGACACCCCTCTTAGTATATATTTAAACATCCCTCACACCCCCTTGTCATTAAATCATCATTTTTAAACAAAAAAATTCATCTAAAATAACAAAATTGCCCTCACATAAACCTCTAAGAATTCGATTCAAACCGATTAAAATTTATTTTTTATGTATTAAAATTTGAGCTTATTAATTTTTTTTAACGTATTAAAATTATAGCCGATTCGAACTCAACTTGAATTGGATTAAAATTTGATTAGAGTCAATTAAAATTTATATTTTTTACTTATTAAAATTCGGGTTAGTTAAAATTTACTTTTTACGTATTAAAATTTGAATCGACTAAAATTTATATTTGTTATATATATTAAAATTCGGACTAATTAAAATTTAATTCGAGTTAATTAAAATTTGATTCGATAAGAATAAAAACGAATTTTAATATGTAAAAAAAATATAATTTTTAATCGACTCATATAAATTTTAATTAACTCGAATCGAATTTTAATCAATTCAGATTTTAATACGTAAAAAAGTTCAAAAAACAAAGGAGGTTATTAAAGATATGTTTGTTTATACGAGGCGTGGATGAAATTTTTTCTAAAATATATCATGGATAATTTATTAAAATTATATTTTAGTTAACATTATTAATCTGTGGGTGTCGGTAAAAATTTAAAAAAGAGAAAGAATATACTTAAAGATATAACAAATTAGAAAGGGCGTGACTAAATTTTTTTCAAATATATTATAAAATAACACTGATAGAATCATCAGGTAATTGACCCAATCAACTGCCCAAATGTAATCATAAAATCATGACAAGCATACTTTTTTATGATTTGAGGGTAACATTATATGATATGACAAGTTCATGTTCCACATCGGAAAGTCCTGTCTGCAAAGATAAGAATGGCACCACGAGAGCCTCATGGTAGTCTAGCACAACATAGTTTGTCCCATACCCACGGAAGTTAAAAAACCCTCAGCAATAGATCATGTGCACAAAGTAGAGTATATTTTTACCAAAACCTCCAAGGGCACCACAACGATGGGAATCCTTAGAGGGCACAAGAAACCCATCAAGTACCCCACAAAAGGGTAAAGTTTACCAATGATACTATTGCTCAAACGGCCAAAAAGAATCACACTCGAAGGAGGAGTTGTTCACCAAAGGCATGCCCCATCCCAACTTATTTCTCGGTTATTTTTAAATTTATTTTTTAATCCCAGTCATTTTTAGAAAACATATTTCCAAATAAAGTATTTGTGACTCAAAACGTTATTTGGTTTAAAGACGTTATTTGAAATGATACTTTTAAAGGTGAATCAATTTTAATATATAATGCGTTAAAAGACGTCATTTTAAATGATTATTTTTAATAATAAAAGTGTTATTGAGAATGACGTTTTTAAGAAATGATTGAGTTTGAAAAATAAGTTTAAAAATGATTCATTTTAATAAATAAAATTTTGGGATGCAGGAGTTTGGTAAATAACTTGATGAAGGAGTCCTACCTTATACAATGCTCCCCTTGAGGAAAAATGGAATACAAATTGAATGAACATGATTGTCACCCTTGATTCTAAAACCCTAATGTATTACTCTTCTACCTCCTAGACTACTGTAGTATCTCAAAGGTTGAGCTCCCTCCTCAAAGATTGAGTCTAGTGGGTACCAATTAGTCCTATAAACAGACCATTTGGGGAAGATTTTCATATATTAACGTCATTTCTCACATTCTAGGGTTGATAAGAGGACATATAATTCACTGTGGAATGTTCAGTTTGAATCATAACTTTTAATTCAGAAAGATAGTCCATCAACACAGAACAACCAAAATCAAACAATAAATAACATTGTTCTCATGAATCTCCTACCTGAATCATAAATAATTCTAGAGACCATTTGAGCAACATAAGATCATGTGGATGCCCATCTCTCATGCCACAGTTGTTTGTGTCTTTGTGTTTTGCTCTTGAGCATTATTTTTTAGCTTATGAAAAGTACTTGAAAAGAGGGTTACCTAAGAGTGTGAATTCTACCCTAAACATTAACGGAGAAATAAGGTATTTTGATTAAACTTCACTTCGTTTAAATTATAATTGTGTCAACTCTAGTAATTTTAAAAACAATTAATAATTTAACCCTAAAAATTAGTTTAGTGATAGCTCGATCATATGAAAAAAAGTTATCGCCCCTTGTGTAGAGACAGTTTTGCACAAGATCAAATATTAGTCCGGTGAATAAGTGAAATAGAATTGCATGGAAGTTAATTTAGCACCTTTGTGAAAAAAAATTGTGTGTTTGGGAGATTTAGAGCATCTCCAACCCATTAGCTAAATCTTTATTGTTAATTAGTTTGGCAAGGATTGCACGAAAAAAACTGCTCTAATCGACTAACCATCTTGTTAGTTAAAACATAGGAGATCCTTGTTGCTCGTCAAATCTAGAGAAGGAGAAGAAGTGCGCCAGACTGCTCGTGCCAATGTTTGCTGCCAAGTAATCTTCTTCATCCCCCCACCCCCAAGCAGCAAAATCCCTCCCACCCACCCATTCTGCAACCCACCTTCCCCTTTCAACCCATTTTGAAACCCCCCTAGCTTTATTTTTAATGGAATATTTGATTTTAGACCCTATGAAAATATTAATGCAAATATTTTGAAAATCTTAGGTTTATAAGACATGTATCTTGTAATTGGTTTATGTTATTTAAGGTGGACGAGTGTTAAATTGCTATTAGGTTGTGTTATTTGAATTTTGATTAGAATTATTATTATGATGATAATACACAGGAAAAGTCATATTTATATATTTTTAAAAATATGACAGTTAAATTTAAAACTTTGATGATGTGGCACAACACGTCATTATGTCGTGTCATTATTATGACATTAGTGTGTTAGGTCACATGGTAATTTTAAATTATATTATTAAAAGTTAATTAAAATTAATTGTAATAGGTATTTAAAATTGAAAGAATTACTGGAGTGAACTTTAAAAAAATGACTAAAAAAATAGAAAATATAATATTTAAATATATTTTATTAAGTATTTTGTTGAACTGGGATGGGTTTGGTCTCGGATGAGAGGGAAACAATTCTGACCCATATGCAGAAAATTCTAACAGATTGGGATTGAGTATGCCCATACTCTTTCGTCTCCAGCGCCAACATTCGAGTATTCTCTCTTCCATTGCTGTCCATCTGAGCTGAAATAACCACCAATTGAATGGAGAACACAGACGTAATGCGATGGTAAAGAGTGAGGTACTTTCGTTGTGGGCTTTTTACCGTTTTCACTTCAAAAATTACCAAATTTTACTCTTAGGATGGTGTTAGCGTTGCTAGATTTTGGCAGAGACGGTGATTTTAAGTCACTTTTTTTTGGGATGTCAAAACACAATTGAGACAGTAACAATTAAACCTGAGACTTTCATTTGCTTAGTCTTGAATTATCTCTTTTTCTGTAGAAGAAAATATCAAATTCTCCTATTGAATTCTTTAATTACAGTTTCACCCTTCCATTAACCATTATGTAACGGTAGACATCTGTAATTAGGGTTGTTTTGTTTATTTCTTTTAGCAGTGCCATTGATTTTACATGGGTTCCATTTCAATACTGTAATTGATCATAGTGAGAGAGTTTTGAGGATCAAATGTTTTGGGTGGTTGATTGTTTGTTGAATATATGGATTGTTGTGTGTTACTCTAATTTCCAGAGAGAGATAACTGTACGACTGTGATTTCAGCAGTTGGAAGAAGAAGACAGAAAGGGGCATTAAGGTAATATTACCTGTCAGCAATTGGCCTCTTTTGTCTTATTTCTCTATTAAAACTGATGGAAAGAGCCTATGTGAGAAGATGGTAGTCAAGAGAAAGTAACGCTTCAGTACTGTAGGCTTTCCCGGGCACCTAATGGTTTGAGTACATGCATGCAATTAATAACTTGCATATGATAGACAAGGAAAACATATGAAAAATCTTGTGCTAGCCTAAGATAAGATAAATCACCAAATTAGAAAACCTATCTGGCGGCTTCTGTATAGATTTTTGGGTGATTTGGTCCAACGTAACCCAAATAGAATGAGCGGCTTAAGACTTGGGCTAATTAATTCTTCAGTGGAATATCTATCATTGTGGAAAAGTATGAAGATGAAATGAAGTAATTAAAAGTCGTTCAGTGGAAGTCTATATAGACATTAGAAAACACATAGCACCTTTCATCCTCACCAACAAGAAGCACTCTACATATGGGAAACATTACAATCTCTATGCTATTTCAAGCTCTTGTTCTCATACTACTGTGTTCTGGTTTAGATTTTTGCGCTTCCATAGACACCATTACATCCACACAATCCATCAAAGACTCTGAAACTGTAGTCTCCAATGGCAAGATCTTCAAGCTTGGATTCTTCAGTCCTGTAAATACCACAAATCGTTATGTTGGTATTCTATACAACATCCCTGTGATGACTGTGGTATGGGTAGCTAATAGAGAAAAGCCCCTAATTGATTCTTCTGGGATTGTGATGATATCTGAGGACGGTAATGTTGAGAAAAAAACAAACTTGTAATTTGTCTATTTGGGAGTTATATTTTATGCATCTTGTCATTGAGTAAGTGGGCATGAGTGAATTAAAAGAGTGACTGTGTTTGTTTTATCTTCTCTATGTCTCTTCCATTATCGTATTGATATATATTAATAGTCCTCTTGATTCGAACAGGTAATCTCGTGGTCTTGAATGGACAGAAGGAGATCATTTGGTCATCAAATGTTTCAAATCCTGTGGCAAATTCAAGTGCAACCTTGTCCTGAGAGACAACTCCAGTGGAAGGATCATATGGGAGAGTTTTCAACATCCTTCCGATTCATTCATACCGAGGATGAGAATTGGTTATGATGCAAAGACACGTGAGAGAAATCTGCTTACATCATGGAAATGTCCTTCAAACCCATCGATTGGACACTTCTCTCTCGGACTTGATCCACTAAACATCCCACAGATTTATGTATGGAATGGTAGTCATCCATACATGCGTAGTGGTCCTTGGGATGGTCAGATTTTTATTGGAATTCCAGAAATGGCTTCTGTATATCTCGATGGATTTAATATTGTAGACGACAAAGAAGGAACCTTTTATTTAACTTTTACCTATGTGTATAATCAGTCCATTGGAACATACTATATGTTGGATTCTGATGGAACTCTACTGGAGAAGTATTGGTCTGATGAGAAGGAAGACTGGGAAGTGACGTGGTTGGCGCCAGGAAATGACTGTAATGTTTATGGCAAGTGTGGGGCATTTGGAAGCTGTAATTCGCTGGATTCACCAATTTGTACCTGTTTAAGAGGATTTAAACCAAAGTATAAGGAGGAATGGAGTAGGGGTAATTGGACTAGTGGATGTATAAGAAAGACACTGTTGCAATGTGAGAGAAACAATACTCTCAATGAAGGGGGCAAAAAAGATGGATTTTTGAGGCTCAAGACGATGAAAGTGCCAGACTTTGTGGAGTGGTCACCTGCTCTAGAAGACAACTGTGGAAGCCTGTGCTTGAATAATTGCTCCTGTATAGCTTACTCATATTACCCTAGCATTGGGTGTATGCACTGGGGTGGAAGTCTAATTGACATACAGAAATTTCCTCAGGGCGGGGCGGATCTTTTCATTCGAGTGGTATATTCAGAGCTTGGTAATACATTTTTGTCTGATATATTATAATGCAGTGAATTATTCATACGTATGCTCCTTCTTATACTCTTTTCCTTTAACTGTTTGTTACTTTGTTGATTCAGAACAAATGTATGTCAACTGCATATGGTTGATCAAAAAGAATTGCTGAAAACTATTTCTCAAAAACCATAATTATTCAGACATGACAACTAGGACAGAGCTGAGAAAATTGTTTGCCATATGAACTTCTTAATATTTGTGAAATTGAAATTCATTCATTTGAAAGCCATCCATCTAAATGCAACCTTATTTCTTTTCCTCATTTTTGCTGAAATCTATTAAATTGTGTTCTGGTCTACAGATGGAGAGAAAAACATGAAAGTAGTTCTGGCAATTACTACAATCACAGGGTCAGTAACCATTGCCATATGCGCATCCCTTTCTTGGCGGTGGATATCCAAGCGAGGAGGTAGTCCCTTTCTTTCATAAGAATTAGCTCAAAAGTATTACCCTATATTCATTGTTAAATAAATTTACCTACAATTAGTTTCTGCATCAGGAAGGAAGCAAAACCCAGAACAGGTATTATTCGAAAGAGAGAAAGCAGATCCAGTGTATTCAACTGAAACGTTGCTTCGAGAGAATAACGACCAAATTAAAGTTGAAGAGCTGCCATTATATTGTTTTCAGAGTATGGCAAATGCAACAGACAACTTCCACTCTGCCAATAAGCTTGGGCAGGGTGGTTTTGGACCAGTCTACAAGGTAATGATTGGTCATCCAGACATTTATGCCATATTGAAGCATACGAAATTGACTTGAGGCTTGTTTTTAGGGAAAATTTCCAGATGGACAAGAAATAGCTGTAAAAAGGCTTTCAAGATCCTCTGGACAAGGGCTAGAGGAGTTTATGAATGAAGTTGTGGTGATTTCTAAACTCCAGCATCGCAATCTTGTTAGACTAATTGGCTGCTGCGTAGAAGGAGAAGAAAAGATGCTGATCTATGAGTACATGACAAACAAAAGCTTGGATGCAATTCTTTTCGGTTGGTTGATATTTTATCTCTTTTTATCATTTATAGTTGTGTCAATTCTTTGCTTTGGCACTACTGCTGACTTGATTGCAGTCAGCCGATAACATGCTTCTCAACATCAATTTTCTTCAGCTTACAACATTTTCCTACTTGTTCTTTTGGAAACAAAACTTTCAGATTCACTCAAACATGAACTCCTAGATTGGAGCACACGTGTCAACATTATTGAAGGGATTGGCCGAGGCCTCCTCTACCTTCACAGAGATTCCAGATTAAGAATCATTCATCGAGATTTAAAGGCAAGTAACATCTTATTGGATGAACAACTAAACCCAAAAATTTCAGATTTTGGCCTCGCAAGGATATTTGGAGGCAACCAAAATCAAGCCGATACAAGTAGGATTGTTGGAACCTTGTAAGTAGATATTGCTTTGTCCATTCATTATTTTCCACGTGACCAACATGTCATGATGAGCAACAGTTCATTTTTACTCAATTAATTTTATTATTACGCCGTGTAATGCAGTGGATATATGGCCCCTGAATATGCAATGGAAGGAAGATTCTCAGAAAAATCTGATGTTTATAGCTTTGGAGTATTGATATTAGAGATTATGAGTGGAAGAAGGAACACCAGTTTTTATCATGATGAGCACTCTTTGAGCCTTCTAAGATTTGTAAGTTCATTTGCTCAAGTAATGCTGATTTTTAAGGCCCTTAGTCTTTCTAAGTCCAGCAATTCATTCTTTTCTTAATGTCCACAGGCATGGAAACTGTGGAATGAAGATAATAGCTTCACATTAGTGGATCCAAAGATATCTAATACACTCTTCAAAATGGAAGTTTTGAGATACATACATGTCGGACTATTATGCGTGCAAGAATTTGCAAAAGATAGGCCAACTATTTCTGCTGTCCTTTCAATGCTTAGTAGTGAAATTGCAGACCTTCCTAAACCAAAAAAACCTGCATTTACGGAAAGGCAGATTTATTCTGAGGTGGAGTCTTCTCAACAAAGTGAAAAACGATGCTCTAGCAACAGTGTAACCATCACAAGTGTTCAAGGCCGATAGCCTGCAAATCTTGACATTTTTTTTTCTTTTTTGTTCTTTGTTAAGTATAGATATCTTTTTAGTTCAATTCTACATTTTCGTGAGGACTACGTGACAGATCAGAATTGTCACAAGCAGTGATAGTCAAAGGGTTAATCAAGGCCCCATTCGAAAAGCTCTCGACAAGTTCAACAAAACTGATGCCATCATCTCGGTTGTTATTAAGCCAATAAGTGATGTTTAGACTACTTTTAAGCACTTTTTTTTTTATCGGGCTGTAAAAAGTATTTTTGTAATGTCTAGTAATTTTGGGCTGTTGGGTTTTCATGTTGATTACTGTTCAGAACTTTGAATCATTTTGAATAAAAGCTACAGTTGTGTTCTCCTCCCTTCTGATACGCTGTGATAGTTTTAGCAATAAATGTAACCTGATATTCCCTGGAATATTCAACTTGTTAGACCTTTGTATTATTTCAGATTTTAACTGTTCAAGTTATTCCCTGAAAATAGATGTTCTAAAGAAGAGGCCTCTGGTGCACTGGTGGAGGAGAGAGGATTTTGAAGTCTCAGAGTGCTCTAGTCCCAAGGGTGAAAAGATGGCAAAGGAACAGGGAAAAGGGCAATTCAAAGAGCTCATGGTGATTATGCCTGCTGAGGAAGAAGGGTTTCCTATTTGATACCCCCCATTTTTTTCTAGTGGCCAGTGAATTACTGATGAAGTTGTTTGCATCTCGGGTGGGGCCTAGCCTGGGGCATAAGACTTAGATGGGTTCCACTTGAGATAGAGGACTCGAGTTTAAAAGTTTTGATCCAACACAGCGTATTACTCAGGTTCCTAACATTTAGTATTGAACAATCACAACGATCGAGTTCTATACGAGGCGACGATTGAAGAGGGCGACCTATGAATATAAGCGGAATGAATTTTGTTCCTATCTATTCCATGCAAAAACTATAAAAAACAGATGGTTTGTGGAAAATGTCCATTTAGGATAAGATTATAATATTAAAAAAAGAAATCGGTATCGTACAAAAATTTATTTACGTTTAAGAGAAGTTACAAGTAATTGAGATTTTAGATGGATTTAGTCATTTCTAAAATTTAGGTGACATATTCTGATGTTGATTGGATGTACAGTGACAAATATAAAAAGGTCTTCTTTATTATATTTTTTGTTTTAAATTGTCCGTGAGTTTTACTTTGTCTCAATTACTAACTTTACTACTAAAAACATTTCCTCTAATTTCTATATTTGCCGGCCACTAATGCTTTGTTTAGACACACACAGTAGACTTCAATATAGATTTATCAATGACTGGTCCAATGTAATCCAATAAGAATGAGTATCTTAAGCCTTAACCCGCTTGACACTTCCAAGGAAATTCTGGCAGTGTGAAAAAGTTTGAAGAATAAATTGAACTTTGTTCATGGAAGTCTATACACAGATCACCTTCCATCCTCAAACAAAAAGCACTCGAACAAATGGCTAGCAATACAAAATTTATACCGTTCCAACCCCTTCTTTTCATGCTAGTGTGCTTTGGTTTAGATTTTTGCACTTCCACAGACACCATTACATCCACACAATCCATCACAGACTCTCAACATATTGTCTCCAATGACAAGATGTTCAAGCTTGGATTCTTTAGTCCTGTGAATTCTACAAATCGTTATGTTGGTATTTTGTACAACATCCCTATGATGACTGTGGTATGGGTTGCTAATAGAGAGAAGCCCCTGAATGATTCTTCTGGGATTGTGATGATATCTGAGGATGGTAATCTCTTGATCTTGAACGGACAGAAAGAGATCATTTGGTCATCAAATGTCTCAACTCCTTTGGCAAATTCAAGTGCTCAGCTTTTGGATACTGGGAACCTTGTCCTGCGAGACAACTCCAGTGGAAGGATCTTATGGGAGAGTTTTCAACTTCCTTCCGACTCATTCTTACAGAAGATGAGGCTTAGTACTGATGTAAATACAGATGAGAGGATTCTGTTAACATCATGGAAAAGTCCTTCAAACCCATCGATTGGACACTTCTCTCTTGGACTTGATCCACTAAACATCCCACAGATTTATGTATGGAATGGTAGTCATCCATACATGCGTAGTGGTCCTTGGGATGGTCAGGTTTTTATTGGAATGCAAAAAATGCCTTCTGAATATCTCAATGGATTTAATCTTGTAGACAACAAAGAAGGAACTTTTTATGTAACTTTTACCTATGCAAATGAGTCCATTCCAAAATACATCAGCTTGAATTCTGACGGATCTGTATTGCAGAAGACTTGGTCTGATGGGAAGGAAGATTGGGAAGTGATGTTTGTGGCGCCAGGAAATGAGTGCAGTATTTATGGCAAGTGTGGGCCATTTGGAAGCTGTTATTCACAGGATTCACCATTTTGTACCTGTTTAAGAGGATTTGAGCCAAAGTATAAAGAGGAATGGAGTAGAGGAAATTGGACTAGTGGATGCAAGAGAAAGACACCGTTGCAATGTGCGAGAAATGATACTGTCAAGGAAGGAGGCAAAGAAGATGGTTTTTTGAAGCTCGAGAAAATCAAAGTGCCAGACTTTGTGGAGTGGTCACCTGCTCCAGAAGACAATTGTGGAAGCTTGTGCTTGAATAATTGTTCGTGTCTAGCATATTCATATCACACTGGCATTGGGTGTATGCAATGGAGTGGAATTCTAATCGACATAGAGAAATTCCCCAATGGTTCTGGGGCAGATCTTTACATTCGAGTTGCATATTCGGAGCTTGGTAATGCATTTTTGTCTGATTTATCACCTTGCAGTGAATTATTTTTCCGTATGCTTCTTCTTGTGCTCTTTTCCTTTTACTCTTTGTTTACTTGCTGATTCAGAACAAACATATGTCACTTGGATATGGTTGACCAAAAAGAATTACTGAAAACTAAAAAATATATCTGAAAAACCATAATTGTTCGAATAGGAGTTTACAGGACAAAAAGGACAGAGCTGAGAAAATTGTTTGCAATGAACTTCTTAATATTCGTAAAGTTGAATCTCATTGATTTCAAAGCCATCCATCCAAATGCAACTTCAATTCTTTTGTTCATTTTAGTTGACCTCTAAAAGCTTGTTCTGGTTTACAGATGAAGAGAAAAACATGAACGTAGTTATCGCAATTACAACAATCATAGGGTCAGTAACCCTTGCCATCTGCACATACTTTTCTTGGAGGTGGATAGCCAAGCGAAGAGGTAGTAAGTTCATAAGAGTTAGAGCAGAAGTATTAGCCAATACTCATTAGTAAATAAAATTTGACTATAATTTGTTTCTGCATCAGGAAGGAAGCAAAAACGAGAGCAGGTGACATTTAAAAGAGAAGAAGTAGATCCACAATATTCAATTTGAAATGTTGCTTTGAGAGGCTACCGACCAAATTGAAGTTTTTTTTTTTTTTGAACAGGACCAAATTAAAGTTGAAGAGCTGCCATTATATAGTTTTCAGAGTATGGCACATGCAACAAACAACTTCCATTCTGCCAATAAACTCGGGCAGGGTGGTTTTGGTCCAGTCCACAAGGTAATGATTGTTCATCCAGAGCATTATGCCATAGTGAAGCATATGAAATTGATATGATGCTTCTTTTTAGGGAAAATTGCCGGATGGACAAGAAATAGCTGTAAAAAGGCTTTCAAGATCCTCTGGACAAGGGCTAAAGGAGTTCATGAATGAAGTTGTGGTGATTTCTAAACTCCAGCATCGCAATCTTGTTAGACTCATTGGCTGCTGTGTTGAAGGAGAAGAAAAAATGTTGATCTATGAATACATGCCAAATAAAAGCTTGGATGCTTTTCTTTTCGGTTGGTTGATATTTTATCTATTTTTCTCATATATAGTTGTTTCAATTCACTGCTTCGGCACTACTGCTTACTTGATTGCATTCAGAAGATGCTTGTCAACATCAATCTCCTTCAGCTTACAACCTTTTCCTACTTGTTTTTTTGCAAACAAAATTTTCAGATTCACTCAAACAAGAACTCCTAGACTGGAGCACACGTGTCAACATTATCGAAGGGATTGGTCGAGGCCTCCTCTACCTCCACAGAGATTCCAGATTAAGAATTATTCATCGAGATTTAAAAGCAAGTAACATCTTATTGGATGAACAACTAAACCCAAAAATTTCAGATTTTGGCCTCGCAAAGATATTTGGAGGCAACCAAGATCAAGCCGATGCAAGTAGGGTTGTTGGAACCTTGTAAGTAGATATTACTTCGTCCAAAATGATTCATTATTGTCCATGTGACCAACATGTCACGCCATAGTTCATCTTTACTCAATTAATTTTATTTTTATGCCTAAAATAATTTAATGTAGTGGATATATGGCCCCTGAATATGCAATGGAAGGAAGATTCTCGGAAAAATCTGATGTCTATAGCTTTGGAGTATTGATATTAGAGATTATGAGTGGGAGAAGGAACACCAGTTTTTATCATGATGAGCATTCTTTGAGCCTTCTAAGATTTGTAAGTTCATTTGCTTAAGTTATGCTGATTTTGACAGTACTTAAGTCTTTTTAAGTCCAACAATTCATTCTTTTCTTAATGTCTGCAGGCTTGGAAACTGTGGAATGAAGATAAGAGCATCACATTAGCAGATCCAAAGATACCTAATACACAATTCATAATGGAAATCTTGAGATGCATACATGTTGGACTTTTATGTGTTCAAGAATTTGCCAAAGATAGGCCAACTGTTTCCACTGTTCTTTCAATGCTTAGTAGTGAAATTGCCGATCTTCCTACTCCAAAACAACATGCATTTACAGAAAGGCAGTCTTCTCCACAAAGGGAAAAACAATGCTCTATCAACAGTGTCACCATCACAAGCATTGAAGGCCGATAGGCTGCAAAAATCTTGACAATTTTTCTTTTTTTTTTTTTTTCTTGTCTGGTATAGATATTTTGGTAGTTCAGCGATGGTGTTAGAAAAAGGTTTTTGACCCCATTTTGGAAAGTTCTCGACAAGTTCAACAAAAGCACCTTTTTTATTTTATCGTGGTGTTAAAAGTATTTTTGTAATGTCTAGTAATTTTGGGCTGCTGGGTTTTCATATTGATAAGTGTTCAGAACATTGAATCATTTTGAATGAAGGCTACAGGTATCCTAGAGGAATAGCTACGTTAAAGAAGAGGCTTCTGCTCTCGAAAACAAAAAAATAAAAAAGAGGCTTGGATTCAAATCTTGGATTTTGCATCAATTTCACACAAGTAATTGTGTCTAAAGATTAGCCAACAATTTGGATTTCAAATCCTGGATTGCTTATGTTTAATTACGTCTTATAGTGATAAATGGTACGGTACTAAAATTTTTATTTTTTGGATCTAACAACCAAACCCTTAATGGTAATAAGACCATTCTTGCATTTAATCCCGAATGCTTTCCCAAGATAAAAAGTATTACAATTCTTTTCTTGGAAGGATGGCAGAACTTACACAAACATTATATCGAAGATCCTTAATTTTCATAAGACTCGAAATATCTTAAATTTCTTGTCTTCTAGTAATTTGTAGAATTACAAGGCTTCCTAATTTTATTTCAGAGCATGGGAATCTCTCCAAAGTAGTTCCAGATGAGATTATGACCCTTGAACATGTAACAATTTGTAGAACACGTTTCTTGCGCTTGGACATGTAGCAAGCCGTAGTCTTATCGTTGAATGAAATATGAAAACAAAATATCATAAAGGTCTTTAAGTCAATCGGTGCCAAGCAACGTGTTTCTTGCACTTGGACATGTATCAAGTTAACAAAGTCTAATGATAACGAAGTCATGATAGGTGTCTGCAGTGGAATTTCAACATCATTAAGAGACTAATCAATGGAGAGCATGGGAATCTCTCCAAAGTAGTTCCAGATGAGATTATGACCCTTGATGAGATTACGGTACAATATGGTTGTTTACGATCGACAAGCAACTTCACCACATAGTTGTAACCAATCTTTTTGTATCGTAAATTTTTTTCCAAATGAATTGATAACAAAGTCATATTTACTTATAAATTTGGTTACCATACCGGATTGGCGCCGAAGTCTTATCGTTAAAAGAAATATGAAAACAAAATTACAAAAGGTCTTTAAGTCAATCTGTGCCAAGCAACACGTTTCTTGCACTTGGACATGTAACAAGCCGTAGTCTTATCGTTGAATGAAATATGAAAACAAAATTGTTGGGATTTAACACTGAGTTTAAATTCACTAACAAACATACACAATCGAAGAACAAATTAAGAATATAAAGCAATAAGAAACAAGAAAGAACAAGACACAGATTTTACGTGGTTCGGCAATTTGCCTACGTCCACGAAGCTACAGGGATTTCACTATTGAGAGAGTTGAATACAGAGAGCGGCTGTACAATCCACCATATTAACCCTAATCACCAAAATAATGGGTTTTATATGTCTTACGCATTGGACTATATAACGGGCCCAAAAATTTTCTTCGGGACCGTTGTCCCCGAAACCCCACGAGGCTTGTCCATGAGCGCTACGGCTTGACCCTGTCGGCCCAAGCCTTCGCTCCATGGACTAAGCCTCATAAAATTTTTCATTAAAAAATCACGCAACCATTACTTCGGGTCGGGTCATCATTCGAATCACATATACAAATTAGACTCTACAAAAAAAAATCAACAAAAATATCATAAAGGTCTTTAAGTCAATCTGTGCCAAGCAACGTGTTTCTTGCACTTGGACATGTATCAAGTTAACAAAGTCTAATGATAACGAAGTCATGATAGGTGTCTGCAGTGGAATTTCAACATCATTAAGAGACTAATCAATGGAGAGCATGAGAATCTCTCCAAAGTAGTTCCAGATGAGATTATGACCCTTGATGAGATTACGGTACAATATGGTTGTTTACGATCGACAAGCAACTTCACCACATAGTTGTAACCAATCTTTTTGTATCGTAAATTTTTTTCCAAATGAATTGATAACAAAGTCATATTTACTTATAAATTTGGTTACCATACCGGATTGGCGCCGAAGTCTTATCGTTAAAAGAAATATGAAAACAAAATTACAAAAGGTCTTTAAGTCAATCTGTGCCAAGCAACACGTTTCTTGCACTTGGACATGTAACAAGCCGTAGTCTTATCGTTGAATGAAATATGAAAACAAAATTGTTGGGATTTAACACTGAGTTTAAATTCACTAACAAACACACACAATCGAAGAACAAATTAATAATATAAAGCAATAAGAAACAAGAAAGAACAAGACACAGATTTTACGTGGTTCGGCAATTTGCCTACGTCCACGAAGCTACAGAGATTTCACTATTGAGAGAGTTGAATACAGAGAGCGGCTGTACAATCCACCATATTAACCCTAATCACCAAAATAATGGGTTTTATATGTCTTACGCATTGGACTATATAACGGGCCCAAAAATTTTCTTCGGGGCCGTTGTCCCCGAAACCCCACGAGGCTTGTCCATGAGCGCTACGGCTTGACCCTGTCGGCCCAAGCCTTCGCTCCATGGACTAAGCCTCATAAAATTTTTCATTAAAAAATCACGCAACCATTACTTCGGGTCGGGTCATCATTCGAATCACATATACAAATTAGACTCTACAAAAAAAAATCAACAAAAATATCATAAAGGTCTTTAAGTCAATCTGTGCCAAGCAACGTGTTTCTTGCACTTGGACATGTATCAAGTTAACAAAGTCTAATGATAACGAAGTCATGATAGGTGTCTGCAGTGGAATTTCAACATCATTAAGAGACTAATCAATGGAGAGCATGAGAATCTCTCCAAAGTAGTTCCAGATGAGATTATGACCCTTGATGAGATTACGGTACAATATGGTTGTTTACGATCGACAAGCAACTTCACCACATAGTTGTAACCAATCTTTTTGTATCGTAAATTTTTTTCCAAATGAATTGATAACAAAGTCATATTTACTTATAAATTTGGTTACCATACCGGATTGGCGCCGAAGTCTTATCGTTAAAAGAAATATGAAAACAAAATTACAAAAGGTCTTTAAGTCAATCTGTGCCAAGCAACACGTTTCTTGCACTTGGACATGTAGCAAGCCGTAGTCTTATCGTTGAATGAAATATGAAAACAAAATTGTTGGGATTTAACACTGAGTTTAAATTCACTAACAAACACACACAATCGAAAAACAAATTAAGAATATAAAGCAATAAGAAACAAGAAAGAACAAGACACAGATTTTACGTGGTTCGGCAATTTGCCTACGTCCACGAAGCTACAGAGATTTCACTATTGAGAGAGTTGAATACAGAGAGCGGCTGTACAATCCACCATATTAACCCTAATCACCAAAATAATGGGTTTTATATGTCTTACGCATTGGACTATATAACGGGCCCAAAAATTTTCTTCGGGGCCGTTGTCCCCGAAACCCCACGAGGCTTGTCCATGAGCGCTACGGCTTGACCCTGTCGGCCCAAGCCTTCGCTCCATGGACTAAGCCTCATAAAATTTTTCATTAAAAAATCACGCAACCATTACTTCGGGTCGGGTCATCATTCGAATCACATATACAAATTAGACTCTACAAAAAAAAATCAACAAAAATATCATAAAGGTCTTTAAGTCAATCTGTGCCAAGCAACGTGTTTCTTGCACTTGGACATGTATCAAGTTAACAAAGTCTAATGATAACGAAGTCATGATAGGTGTCTGCAGTGGAATTTCAACATCATTAAGAGACTAATCAATGGAGAGCATGGGAATCTCTCCAAAGTAGTTCCAGATGAGATTATGACCCTTGATGAGATTACGGTACAATATGGTTGTTTACGATCGACAAGCAACTTCACCACATAGTTGTAACCAATCTTTTTGTATCGTAAATTTTTTTCCAAATGAATTGATAACAAAGTCATATTTACTTATAAATTTGGTTACCATACCGGATTGGCGCCGAAGTCTTATCGTTAAAAGAAATATGAAAACAAAATTACAAAAGGTCTTTAAGTCAATCTGTGCCAAGCAACACGTTTCTTGCACTTGGACATGTAGCAAGCCGTAGTCTTATCGTTGAATGAAATATGAAAACAAAATTGTTGGGATTTAACACTGAGTTTAAATTCACTAACAAACACACACAATCGAAGAACAAATTAAGAATATAAAGCAATAAGAAACAAGAAAGAACAAGACACAGATTTTACGTGGTTCGGCAATTTGCCTACGTCCACGAAGCTACAGGGATTTCACTATTGAGAGAGTTGAATACAGAGAGCGGCTGTACAATCCACCATATTAACCCTAATCACCAAAATAATGGGTTTTATATGTCCTACGCATTGGACTATATAACGGGCCCAAAAATTTTCTTCGGGGCCGTTGTCCCGGAAACCCCACGAGGCTTGTCCATGAGCGCTACGGCTTGACCCTGTCGGCCCAAGCCTTCGCTCCATGGACTAAGCCTCATAAAATTTTTCATTAAAAAATCACGCAACCATTACTTCGGGTCGGGTCATCATTCGAATCACATATACAAATTAGACTCTACAAAAAAAAATCAACAAAAATATCATAAAGGTCTTTAAGTCAATCTGTGCCAAGCAACGTGTTTCTTGCACTTGGACATGTATCAAGTTAACAAAGTCTAATGATAACGAAGTCATGATAGGTGTCTGCAGTGGAATTTCAACATCATTAAGAGACTAATCAATGGAGAGCATGAGAATCTCTCCAAAGTAGTTCCAGATGAGATTATGACCCTTGATGAGATTACGGTACAATATGGTTGTTTACGATCGACAAGCAACTTCACCACATAGTTGTAACCAATCTTTTTGTATCGTAAATTTTTTTCCAAATGAATTGATAACAAAGTCATATTTACTTATAAATTTGGTTACCATACCGGATTGGCGCCGAAGTCTTATCGTTAAAAGAAATATGAAAACAAAATTACAAAAGGTCTTTAAGTCAATCTGTGCCAAGCAACACGTTTCTTGCACTTGGACATGTAACAAGCCGTAGTCTTATCGTTGAATGAAATATGAAAACAAAATTGTTGGGATTTAACACTGAGTTTAAATTCACTAACAAACACACACAATCGAAGAACAAATTAAGAATATAAAGCAATAAGAAACAAGAAAGAACAAGACACAGATTTTACGTGGTTCGGCAATTTGCCTACGTCCACGAAGCTACAGGGATTTCACTATTGAGAGAGTTGAATACAGAGAGCGGCTGTACAATCCACCATATTAACTCTAATCACCAAAATAATGGGTTTTATATGTCCTACGCATTGGACTATATAACGGGCCCAAAAATTTTCTTCGGGGCCGTTGTCCCCGAAACCCCACGAGGCTTGTCTATGAGCGCTACGGCTTGACCCTGTCGGCCCAAGCCTTCGCTCCATGGACTAAACCTCATAAAATTTTTCATTAAAAAATCACGCAACCATTACTTCGGGTCGGGTCATCATTCGAATCACATATACAAATTAGACTCTACAAAAAAAAAATCAACAAAAATATCATAAAGGTCTTTAAGTCAATCTGTGCCAAGCAACGTGTTTCTTGCACTTGGACATGTATCAAGTTAACAAAGTCTAATGATAACGAAGTCATGATAGGTGTCTGCAGTGGAATTTCAACATTATTAAGAGACTAATCAATGGAGAGGTGGTTAACCATTTACTTTTCAATAAGCTCGTTTGTATAATTATTGATTTTGCGCAAGCTGATTGATTTGTACGATTGTTCTGCTTTAATTTTTTAATATGATAATAAGGGGATTCACTTCTTAATTGAACAAGCAACCAAAGTATATGCCATCTATGCATTGTCTTTCTTCCTTCAATTCCACTTCCCTCTTGTTTTCAAGTAGGTGTGTCAATCGAATTGTGTCGTGTCATTTTTACTTATATCATATTCAGGGTGTGTCATTATAGCTTGCGTCGTATTTGTATCAATATTAGTGTTTATGAAGAACTATTTAATTCTAAAACATTCAGACAGTACTAGGAATGAAAGCAAAAAAAATTAATTAGTGATATTTTCAAAAATTACCTGTTGGCGATACAGTAAGGTTGCTCCAGACCTAAAAGTGACGGATTCAAGTCGTAGTAATGGCCTATCTGTTTGCAAGCAGAGATTAGATTGTGTACGTCACTAGACCCCGCAATGGCGCGAGCCTTGTGCACTTGGCACCGGTTTAACTTGTTCTTGGTGTCTAAACCCAATTAGTATTGGTGTTAAAGGGGTCATGTTATTTGATAACCCTATTCCCAGGTGAAAGATGGTTGAAGTTGTTATAATGTAGGGCCCTCATCTCTGAATTTTGGACTAGGTGTTTAGGGCCACCAAGTTGAAAATCAAATATGATGGCTTGAAGAGCGCCTTCAAAGTAATTTCTGCCAGTGTGGAAAAGTATGAAGAAGAAATGAAGAAACTGAACAATGTTACAATTGAACCCTGTAGACAACACACATCACCTTCCATCCTCACCAGCAAGAAGCATTCAAAGAACTATGGGAATTCCTGACAATAAAAAATTGATACCTCTTCAAGCCCTTGTCATCATGCTTGTCTGCTTTTATTTGGAGTTTTGCACTTCCATAGACACCATTACATCCACACAACCAATCAAAGACGCTGAAACTATAGTCTCAATTGGAAAGATCTTCAAGCTGGGATTCTTTCGTCCCGGAAATAGTACGAATCGTTATGTTGGAATTTTATACGACATTCCTGTGGTGACCGCTGTATGGGTTGCTAATAGAGAACAGCCTCTAAATGATTCTTCTGGGATTGTAATGATATCGGAGGATGGTAATCTAGTAATCCTGAATGGAGAGAAGGAGATCATTTGGTCATCAAATGTTTCAAATCCTGTCGCAAATTCAAGTGCACAGCTTTTGGATACTGGGAACCTTGTCTTGCGAGACAATTTCAGTGGAAGGACCGTATGGGAGAGTTTTCAAGATCCTTCCGACTCATTCTTACAGAGAATGAGGATTGGTTATGATGCAAAGACTGGTGAGAGAAATCTGCTTACGTCATGGAAAAGTCCTTCAAATCCATCGATTGGAACCTTCTCCGCTGGCGTTGATACTCTGAACATCCCCCAGTTTTTTGTACGGAATGGTAGTCATCCATATTGGCGTAGTGGTCCTTGGAATGGTCAGATTTTTATTGGAGTTCCAAGAATGTATACTTTTTATCTCAATGGATTTAATCTTGTAAACGATAAAGAAGGATCGGTGTATCTTGCTTTTACTTATGCAAATGAGTCCACTGTAGTATACTATGCCTTGAATTCTGAAGGAACTATACTGGAGAAGTATTGGGTTGCTGGGAAGGAAGATTGGGAAGTAACATGGTCGACGCTAGAAAATGAGTGTGATGTTTATGGCAAGTGTGGGCAATTTGGAAGCTGTAACTCACTAGATTCACCAGTCTGCACCTGTTTGAGGGGATTTGAGCCAAAGGACAAGGAGGAATGGAGCAAAGGAAATTGGACCAGTGGATGCATAAGAAAGACATTGTTGCAATGTGGAAACAATACTGTCAATGAAGAGGGCAAAGAAGATGGATTTTTAAAGCTCGAGACAATGAAAGTGCCAGACTTCGCGGAATGGTCACCTGCTCTAGAAGACAATTGTAGAAGCCTTTGCCTGAGTAATTGCTCCTGTATGGCTTATTCATACTACTCTGGCATTGGCTGTATGCAATGGAGTGGAAGCCTTATTGACATACAGAAATTCCCCCAGGGTGGGGCGGATCTTTACATTCGAGTGCAATACTCAGAGCTTGGTAACATGCTTTGTCTTCCCTATCATCTTGCTGTTCATGATACATATGCTTCTACTTATCCTCTTTTCCATTTATTGTTTGTTTATTTGCTCAGAATAATTATATTTCGAACTAGATTTGAGTCCTTGCACATTGATTCGTTACCCAATCCTTCAGTTTATTTTTTGGACACACCAAAAAAGAAAGATCTGTGAAAGTTGTTTGCAACAAACTATCAATCTGGTTCTAAAGTAGTTCTGCATTAATTCTTTTGTTCATTTTAGCTGTACGCTACTAAAGTTTGCTCTGTTTGTCAGATGAAGAGAAAAACATAAAGACAGTTCTGGCAACTACCATAAGTATAGGGTCAGTAATCATTGCCATCTGTGCGTACTTTTCTTGGAGGTGGATAATGAAACAAAGAAGTAATATGTTCATTGCTCATATGTATCCTGAAATATTCATAAGGGACAAAGTACTTACAATTAGTTTTGTATCAGGAAGGAAGCAAAAGGTTTTGAGACCATTATTTGAGAAAGCAGAAGTATATCCAGAGTATCCAACTGAAACCAGGCTTCAGGGGAGTGCCAATCAAATTAAACTCGAAGAGTTGCCATTATATAGTTTTCAGAAAGTGGCAAATGCAACAGAAAACTTTCATTCTGATAATAAACTTGGGCAAGGTGGTTTTGGTCCAGTATACAAGGTAAATGCTTGTTTATTGAGGCATTTAGGCTATAGTGAACCAGATAAAATTGATTTGATGCTTATTTTCAGGGAAAATTGCCAGATGGACAAGAAATAGCTGTAAAAAGGCTTGCAAGATGCTCTGGACAAGGGCAGGAGGAATTTATGAATGAAGTTCTTGTGATATCCAAACTACAGCACCGCAATCTTGTTAGACTACTTGGCTGCTGTGTACAAGGAGACGAAAAGATATTGATCTATGAGTACATGCCAAATAGAAGCTTGGATGCATTTCTTTTTGGTTAGATGATAGTTAGCTCTTGTTGTCATTTGTAGTGATGCCAATTCATTGCTTTTACATTAGTGGTCACTATTTACTTCAGCTTACGACCTTCTACTTGTCCTTTGGAAACAAAACTGTCAGGTTCACTCAAACAAGAAACCCCCCTAGACTGGAGTAAACGTGCCAACGTTATCAAAGGGATTGGACGAGGCCTTGTTTACCTTCACAGAGATTCGAGATTAAAAATTGTTCATAGAGATCTAAAAGCTAGCAATATTTTATTGGATGAACAGCTTAACCCAAAAATTTCAGATTTTGGGCTGGCAAGAATTTTTGGAGGCAACCAAGATCAAGCCAATACTACAAGGGTTGTTGGAACATAGTAAGTAAATATTTATTTGTGCAATCTACATTAAGTTTCCTGTCAATAAACCATACTTCTTGTCTCGTAATCCAATATTGTTTAAGTTTTATTTCACCTTTTATGCTGAAATGATATAATACAGTGGCTATATGGCACCTGAATATGCAATGAAGGGAAGATTCTCAGAAAAGTCCGATGTCTACAGCTTTGGAGTGTTGATATTAGAGATTATAAGTGGGAGAAAGAATACCAGTTTTTATTATGATATGCACTCTTCGAGCCTTCTAGGATTTGTAAGTTCATTTTCTTCAGAATTTTACAGTTCCTCACTATCGTTGTTCAGGTTGAATTTTCCAAGATTACCAATCCATTATTGAAATGTCTCTAGGCATGGAAACTGTGGAATGAAGAAAATATTATCGCCTTAGTAGATCCAAATATATCTGATGCACTCTTCAGAATGGAAATCTTGAGATACGTCCATGTTGGATTACTATGTGTGCAAGAATCTGAAAACGACAGGCCAACTATTTCTACTGTTCTTTCAATGCTTACCAGTGAAATTGCAGATCTTCCCACCCCAAATCAACCTGCATTTACCGAAAGACAGATTTCTTCTGAAGGTTCTTCTCAACAGAGTGAGAAAATATGTTCTATTAACAATGTCACTATCTCAATTGTTGATGGCCGATAAGATGTACTCTTGACAAATTTTTTCTTTCCCTTGTGTTGTAATTTTTCCTTGAAGATTGTGGCCTTATTAAGTGAAGTATGCAGGAACAGATAACTATTCAATGTCCAGTACTTAGTTTCAAGTACTAAATTCAATTATTTTTCTTCTTTCTTTTGTTTCTTATTGGTTGTCAATCATTATTTTCATATCATTGAAATGCAGGAAATAACAAAAAATGTAAGAATGTGCGAGGACTACAAAAATTGATGTCTGTTGTGCATAGTTGGAAATCATCTAATAGAGTCTAAATATTTACTGTCATCTTCCAGACAATTAAGAGTCTTATTATTTTCAGAATTACGTCGACATTGAATTTATTTGTATTCAAGCCCCCTTAGGGTAATCACTCTAGAATTTGTCCCTGGTAATTACTAGATGTATATGAGATTGGGTGGATTATCTGTATCCAGAAGGATTAAGCAGTTGCCCTCCTTATTTAACAAGAAAAGAAAGTGTTCCCCATTTATAGGAGGTTACTTACATACAAATCTGGATTTGGATTTTGTTTTTGTTTTTGTTTTTGTGACAGTGGTGGTGTCAGTGGGCATGGACTTTCTGGCAGTTGGGTTCAGGTGGTGACGGGTGGTGATATGGTTAGGTTGGGGGTTGTTTGGATGTGATTTGGGTGGTGAAGTGGGGGAGAATGTGTTCAAACAAAAATCCATAAGCAAAGTCATAGAAGATAGTCAGTTTAGACTTTAGAGATCATGATGAGCTGGTCAAATGAGAATTGAATTTAAATATTAGTGTATTGCTGTGAAAACAATACTTCGATTAATTAGAATGTCGATACAAGTCAATTAAATTTATGTATGCCCATGGAAGCATCATTGTGGGCCTCAAACTAAGCAGAGGACCTGTTCCTTTGCTTGAAAACAAAACAAGAAAATCACAAAGTTGGAACTGATTAATCCTTTGTTGATCATTCTGGAAATGCAGTTCCATTGATGGAAACTAGATGTGCATGCTTAAGGAACTGGTTTGAAGGGTTGGAATATCTCGAGGTGACACAGAAACAAATGATATTTTGGATCTGAGTTACAAAACTATAATGGTGTCAAGGCTCCACAAATGTCCCAAGATGGGAACCATATGATGGCTCGTTCGCCATGCAGCCAATAACGCAATGGGGGAACCATGAGCCAAGATTTTTTGATCCACTATTTTAAGTAGATTGGCTTGATTGAAGCCTATGAGGGCAGCTCGTCAGGTAGACCCAAGATTTGACAAAAAAAAAAGAAATTGAAAAAAACAGGTGTCCACTCTGTGACTCACCTTGGACTGTTGACTAGCTTTTTTTTTTTTTTTTTCTAAAAAAAAAAGTTCACCACTTTATTCCATTTCTCAAAAAATACAAGTATGGAAAAACTCTACATTCCAGAGTTTGTACAAAGCAATCTACAAGCAAAACAAATTACAAAATCACCATCTTTCTTCTCAACTCCTTAGTTCTTTGTTGATCATGCAGCAACAAGAGCTTAGTTGGGAGAGGAAGCCTCACAATGCGAAAAATCAGAAGAAGCCCTATCGTTAACAGCCTGATTAGCAAAAAAAATCAGCTAAGGAATTGGCCTACCTAAACACGTGAGACAGCCTGCAGTTCAGTCTGCTCAACACTCCCCGAATCTGCCTCAACACCTTCCAATATTTCCAAGCCCTGTAATGACCTTGCAGCATATTTATCATTACTTCAGAATCTGCTTCAATCTGAAACTTATATTCCATCAAACCATACTTTTCTATCACAAGCAAACCATCCAACGTTGCTCTCAACTCTGCTTCCATATTTGAACACTCTCCATAGAAAAAGGCAGCAGCAAGGACTAACTGTTCCCACTGATTGCGCACAACAGCACCACCTCCTGCCAACCCCGGATTCCCTTTAGAAGCCCCATCCACTTTTTGTTTTAAAAAACCATCTAAAGGAAAAGACCGGTTCACCCAAAAAGTTCTGATCCTGACCTTACAGCACTAATCCACTCTTAAAGCATGCAAAAGCTCCTGCTCAGATAAAGAATCAGGAGCTCTGGGCTTAACACAAACAGCCTGCATTCTCAAAATCGAACAAGCTCTCAGAAATACAGAATGAACAGACAAGTGCCCCTCATAAAAAACCCTCTTGCACCTTTCTCTCTACAACTGCCAATATACAATCAAAGCCAGACCCCATAATATAGCGTGACTTGATGACTTATATGATAAATTCACACCAACCTCATCCATCTAACCAACGGAAACTCATTAGAAACCAATGTCCCCTGAGTATGTCATGGGAGGGATATTTTCTGAGAAATCTGATGCCTTTAGCTTTGGCGTTTTGCTCCTAGAAACCATTAGCGGCCTGAAGAACACCAGATTCCATAATCACGAACAATATTTAAGCCTTGTGGGTTATGTAAGTACACAATCCCACCTTAATGCTCATTTCGAATATTCAGTCATCTTCCAGTCTGATTTAGTAATTTGATTCCATCTTTTTGAATATCGAATTGTTTCAGGCATGGAGTTGTGGAACGAAAGCAGGGTATTAGACCTGATGGACCAAACAATGGCGTCTTCATGTTCCCCTTCTGAAGTAATGAGGTGCATACATATTGGGCTTCTTTGTGTCCAGAACCATGCTACAGACAGGCCAACGATGTCAGCTATTGTTCTCATGCTAAGCAGTAAAACAGATCTTCCACAACCAAAACAACCTGCATTCACTTTTCAAAGTTTGTTGGATTCTAATCGTCGATTTAAGAGCAACAAGATGCATAAATCGATTTTACGTAAAATTAACAGTTGAGTATATCAAGAGATACAATTAACGAGCAGTAAATAGACAATTAATGACAAAATATTAAATAATTAGTCAAAACAAAAATATATAGTCGTTCGGTCTGAGTGACCTACTCTACTCTCAAGAACGGTAGCGGTGACTCGAGATCTTTATTGATAAATAATGTCACTAAGAGAGTTTTACTCCAGAAGAGTTACAATGGTGTGGAGAGAGAAACAATGTGTGTAGGGAGGTATAGTGTGTATAGGGATCTTAAAGGCCTGTCAAGATGTCTCTCTTTGTGGAAAGAGCTTACATTATATAGGCTCAACAAGGCGGTGAGGAGGTGACGAGAAGGAGAGGGTTTCTACTATCTTGGTAATTACAATTATGGTAGGATTAGAAGATCTCCGTAGCAATACGTATCCTGATATTCTCTCCTCGTGATCTTATTCCGTCGGGAGAGGATCCTGAGCTAGGTTGGACTTGATCCTGAACTTGAACTAAGAGCGGCAATATGAAGGAGAGGGAGCATGGAACAAAAGAGAGGAGGGGTCCCCTTGGGGTGGCCTCCTTTGGGCATTGATCACTTGAACTTCTCCTTTGGGCATTGATCACTTGAACTTCTCTTGGTGAATTAGACTTGGACTCCTCTGGGTACTAATGACATGGACCCTCTTGATTTACTTTCATTGGGCGTGATCCAATTTATTTTGGGCTTATCAATATGTGCTCGATAAACAAGGCCACCATATCAACGACAGAAGGGCGATAACTGGTTATGCTTTTCACTGAATTCCTCTTCCATAAAGCTTTTTGAGATGCTTCACGGAATTCCTTTGTTACGTAGGAGATGCTTGTAGTATTTTTGGTGCTTA